CCCCCACCCTCAAACCCCCATCGCCGCTCTGTCCGTTGGCCCTCTGGACACTGTATTTTCTCCTCTCTTGTATTTTTTCCTCTCCCCCAACCACCCCCTCTCACCCCCCGCCGCCGCTCTGTCCTGTGGCCCTCTGGACACTGTTTTTTCTCCTCTCTTCCTCGTGAAAAAAGAAACAAGAGACCGGCTATTTCTTGTCTCCGGTCTATAGACAGAATCTTCTATTTATTTCATAACGTTCGACGGCTATACATATCGATCATTTGGATGTCACGAACAGGGTGTAGAGCACCCTTGCATTCATTAGTGAAGTGCCGACTATTTTTCACATTGTAGAGACGCCACGACCTGCCTCAAGCCCTCCCACTCCTTGACTTCGAGCGCTTAACGAGGAGTAAAGAGTTGTTTCCCGTGATTCCGGATCTGAATGGGGAATTTTCCAAAATCGGGAGGACTTGGAAATTTTTTTTTTTAAGTGAGGGATGAAGACGTTCCCTTCACTTTGATACTTTAACGTAGCTCTACCCTTACGGTAAATTCAAAGATAATTGAAAACAGCAAAAAACTTCCGGAAAACTCGATTAGATTCGGAATCCTAATTTTTTTCTGGTTAATTATCGTTTTGGTTTTTGTAGAAGAAATGTTTAACAATCAGGATTTAACATGTCCAATGTTAACATGTCCAACAATGTTGAAAATCAGGATTTTTATATGGTCTGCTGTCAGTCGAAAAAATTACAGAATTTACCGACAGTTTAGCGACACTGGCTAAAGTTCTTTAATGGGCTGTAGCTTCTTTGTTTGTCATTTCGTTTTTCAAATAAATTTGTAAAAATTAATGTCTCTTTAAAAAATGCAATTTCCATAGAAAAAGAGAAAAAAAAGGAGTGGAGAAGAGACGAATCAGGAAATGTGTGGATACTCACCATGAGCAATGGAATTGAAAAAGAATATTGAGGAACGAGGTATGACCCTACAATCTAAAATCTCATCATTTCGTTCATTAAGAAAATTTCTAAAAATTGATATCCTCTGGTAAAAGCAATCTCCATAGAAAATCTTACATAAAAAGGAGATCCGACGCACTCTGCCTGTTTGGCAAACGGTTCAAGTCGACTCCCAGTTGAGTAGAAATATCTCCGAACCTAAGGGAGATATCGAAATTTTCGTAATTACACTTATTACAGCTCTCAATCCGCTCTACAAAAAAGTTCATGACAAAAATTTTGCCATCTCCCTTAGATTCCGAGATATTCCCTGAAAACCGGGCACCAGTCAAAATTGAAAAAAAAATCACGTGCGGCGAACAAGAAAAAAGAATTCCCTCCTGTTCTAGAATCTCGTTTGGGAAATGAGCAGACCCCGCGTTTCACGATGATAGACTCCAGCAGTCAGGCGAGCTCGAGCGGTCTGGCGACGGCCCTCCGCGACCGCTCAAGCTGCTCAATCCCAAACCAGCCGAACCGCTCCCTGCCAGTGCGCCCAGCGCCGCACATCCCCTGCAGGAGCCTCCTCCCCCGCCGGGCGCTCCCGCCGCACTCCCCCGCGGGGCTGGACTCCCCAGACTCCGAATCAGTGACGACCTCGTCCGACCGCTCGCACCAGGACCCGACGGTCGGTCTCATCAGGATCGAAGTTCCGCACTGGCACAACGACATCCGCCAGCCGTACATCAACATCGTGAACCTGTCGACGCTGCACGCGCCGTCGGAGGCGGCCCGCGGGCTCAAGCGTAAGGCAATCGAGCCCGAGGACAGCGTGACCACTTCAAACTGCAGTCTGATCGACATCTCCCACAGCCCCGACCGCTCCGACAGCTCAAAACAGGGCTCTCCCTCGTCGGTCTCCGCAGCGGACTCCCCGAGGACGCCGCACCCTGAGGGCGACTCGACCCTAAAGAAACGGCGAAAGCGAAAGCTGAAGAGGGACGAGGAAAAGATGGAGATTAACCTGGAGCCCCAGCCCTCGAAGATGGTTCCCCCCCTGCGACTGAAGAAGATCCAGAGTCTCCAGGAGGACGTGCCGAGCGTCGCGACCTGGGGAGCCCCGAAGAAGCCGGTAAATCACAGTCAGCCTGGCCAATTCATTTATTTCACTTCTAGTATTCAAAACCATCTTTATAATGATTTGGTAATGATTGGTATAACGTTAGAATTCGAATATCTTCAAAGTACTGTGTACTCCTTTGATGCAAAAACGTACAAGTTGTGGGTTCTTGAGTGGAGTATTGCTGTGATCCTTTCTTATTATATCCATCAGGTTTTTGAAGAGTGCCAAGTGAATTTGGCGATGACCTTGAACATTGCCATTCACCAACAAAGTTATAATTGTTTAAATTGATAGTATTAGACAGATGGTGAACATCGGTGACAATTTTAAAATTTTAGAACTTATTTATTATTTAGAATTTATTAATGTTAATATGTCCTTGCTACCAACCATTAACAGAACAAGCCCGAGGAGCCGCAGGAAGTTCTCCCGGGCTTCAGATTTTACCAGCCCCGACCACCGGACCCCGACCTCCCCAAAGACGCCTCCAACTACCGCATCGTCACCGGGACGACTCCCCCCTACGACGAGTACATCGACTCCAGCACTGTCAAGGCCCTTGACAAAGCCTCAAGGGCCGTCGATCAGTGCCAGAAGGACGAGAACCTGCGGTTCAGGCAGAACAAGCTGAAGCTCAAGCTGAAGGACTTGAAGAAGAAGACAGTCGAGCTGGGGAGGGAGATGCTGAGGACGGCGATGACGTCCCCCGACAACTCCGCCCAGGAGACCCCCGTCGAGGAGCAGATCAAGAAGCTGACGAGTTTGCTGAAGAAACTGCCGGAGGCGGCTGCGAGGGCCGACGCCGACTGTCAGCTGGAGGACGTCCCAGGGGCTGTCGTCACCTCGACGATCTCGGGAGTTCTCCAGAGCGCCCCGTCCCCGGAGCCCCCCAAGCTCTCCCCGAAGGCCCCAGTGGACTTCGGAAATTCACTGAACGTTCACCAGGTCAGGGACACCCCTCCAGTCCTGGCGAAGGCGATCGCCCATGGGGAGGACACCGAGGACACCTGGCAGGAGTTCGAGGGCCTGAGGGGCCTCCTGAAGATCACGAAGAAGGGGGAGGGGAAGCCGGAGGGCTCCGTCGTCGCGTCGTCCGTCATCACGACGACGAGTGACAGCTCGATTCACGAGGAAATCGATCTGGATAACAAGTGCCAGGTTGACCTGGGGCTCAGGGCGAATGCAAAAACGGAGATAAATCCGGTGAGGCTGAGGAATCAGGTGAGGGCCATCGAGATCAAGAGCCTGATGGGGAGCCCGGACATTCCGGAAGTCATTAAGATCGATCTCAGGAAGACCCCGAGCCCTGGGGAGATGGTGATTGACACCACGAGCGTTCTCCAGGAGTTCGAGAAGAGGTCGGATGGAAATGGGCCTGGGGTGGGGGGCGCTGGGGACCTGGGGGCTGCCCTGAGCCTCCAGGGGGCTCGGGCCGACGCCCTGAGGATTCGGACTCCTGCCCCGATTAGCTCCTCCTCGGAGGCCCCCGGACCGCCGGCTTCCCTGGAGGATTGTCTGGGTGTCAGTGACTCGAAGGATTTGGCGATGGCGGAACAGTTCCCCACCCTCGGGAACTGGCTCGCCAGGATGTCGGCTAAAATGCCGAGTGAAGCTCCTAAAGGCGTCTCCAAGAAGGCGTCGGGCGAGCAGATTGTCATTGAGAGCAGGAGCCCCGCGTATCAGCCGAGGGTCCAGGGGTACAGTCTGGGGAGTGGGAAGGGTGTTGGGGCGGATTTGAGCGCGGGGGGAGGCGCGAGGGAGAATGGGAGACGGTGGAGGGAGGGGCGGGAGGGCCAGGAACAGAGGGCTCAGGAGTACGGCAGCGGGGGGGGGGGGGGGGGGAACGTGCAGGCGATGCAGCAGAGCCAGCAGATGGCGCAGGAGTATTGCGCACCGACGGTGCCGGTGGGGAGATATTATCCGAGGAATTATCCGGTGAGTGATTTTCAGCGATTTTATTTTCATCACTTGGGCGTAGAGTGAAATTTCACGCAAAATCCCAATTTTCACACGTTGCGATGAAAAATATCGGTTTACCATTTACCAGAGCCGAAAAACACTTTTACGCACTTGTATCAAAATATACTATTATTTATTTGATAATGATATTATATCGTCGCATTAAAATCAAAGGGCGTAAGTGCCATTTCTCTGAGATTTTTTTTCTCTTAATACCAAGGGGCGTATGTTTTTTTTTCCTTCGAAATGGAGTTTTCTCAACTTATGAAAGGTTTTTTGTGGACAAATTTCTGAAGTGGGAAATCGACGTAAGTCCGACTAGCAAGTACTGAAGGGGCGTATCTCCAGCACATACGCCTCTTTCTTTTTATACTTTTTATTTCTTTTCTAGCTCATATTGAGAATGAATAATTCCAAAGGGGCGTAACTCAGGCACATACGTCCCTTTGTCTTTCAAGCAATAATCACAGAGGGGCGTAACTCCAATATATATGTCCCTTCATTTGTTACTGTTCGTTCCTATTGATTCATCAAGTATAAACGGAATCACATGCACTACAGCCCTAATAATAAATAATATTTGATTCTACATTAACCTCCCCTCCCTCCCTCTCATCATGAATGTTCAAATTATTTCCCTTTGATTTTTTGCTTGAATGAAACAATTTCATGAGAAATATCAGTAACTAAACTAAAATTTTCTAAAATTTTCTTCTAAATTTATTCGATTTCATTCATTAATTTATTTTATTTTTTTTAATTATGACTGCAAATTTCAGGAAATTATCTGTATGAAATTTCGAGTCGTGACTGCTTTGAACACTTCGGAAGAAAATGAGACCATAAAGGAAGAAGAAAATAGTTAAAGCGTTTTATGTTGATATAACAATATAAAACTCATTATCGCGAGTAGACCTAAGATATAATGAGAGAGAGGCGTATGTGGGACTTACGCCCTTTTCGTTTTATTTCAACATGAAATGTGTCATCCGAAGTGCACAACACATAATGTAAAAAGGGCGTAAGTGTCATTTTTTGAATGAAATGAAACAGGCGTGAGTGTGGAGATACGCCCCTTTCCCGTTGAAATATAGCAATTGCGCCTTTTTCCTAGAATTTTTTTTTTCCGATTTTTGGTCAGAAATTCCATGAAAAACCGAAAAAACAGGAATTCGGAACATACGCCCCTTTGATTTTAATGCGACGATATGATGTGATAATAGTATAAATAATATGGTATCATTTCATCTATAATAATATTATATAATATTATATAATAGTATAATACTAATTCGCAATTGTTATTGCTCATTTTTCAACATTTTAAGCGTTTGCGGGACAAGCAAACAATAAAAAGTCGATTTTTTTCCACTAATTATTCATTTTTAGATTTTTTTCATTTATCATACTTTTTCATCTGTCATACCTGGTATTTGCAACATTAATTTCTTGATCGCAGATATCCTTGTAATGTTCTCTCTCTCTAACACAATTAACAATTCGCTTACTGCTCTGCTAGTATTTTTCTGCCCATTCGCTCAAACCACGTCTCTCTGCTCTGTAAAAATTTTGTTTAAATTTCTAAACAATAAACTTCTTATGTTGTCCCCGTTCCCTCCCCCGAGCCAACCAACCCCCCAAAACAATCTGAAAAAATAATGATTGACCTTTCAGATGGATCCGTACGGGATTCCGTACGGCTACAACTACCCGTCCCTGGCAGCGGCCTCTCTTTGGAGTGGAGCCGTCCTCCAGTACCCCTTCATGCGTCCTCGAGGTCTTCCTCAGGGCTACCAGCCTCGTTTCCCCAGCAACGTCATGCAGTACCACATGCCCCCAGGCTCGCTGTCCCAGCAGAGGGCCCCACCCCCTCCCTACGCCCTCCCAGGCCAGTCGCAAGTGCCTCAGGCCCCCCAGGACCCCAAGAGGGCCCCAGAGCCCTCGAGAAACGACCCAGGGAGCTACGATCCCACCGTCACGACCAAGAGAGCGGAGTGCCCCCCGGTGTCGATGCCCCAGGGGTCCAGTTACCCCGGCCAGAGGGTCCAGCAGCCCCAGCCCTCCAGGGACCCATACCCCAACCCCTACGCAGAGCCCAATCCCCGGGTGTCTGTCTCAGAGTCTTCGAGGGACCAGATGAACTACCGACAGCCCTGGAGGGGGCCCATCCTGCCCCCAGGACCCCTCGGCATGAGGAATTACCCCATCAACACCAACTGGGCGTCAGACCCCTGCTCTCTCCTGGCTGCCCTCTCCCCTGCCACTCTCCAGAACTTCACGACACCCATGCCCATGGCTCAGAGAATGAGAAATCCCAAGGAACAGGTCGACCACACCAGGAACTGCGAAACCCCTCACCTGGGAAAAGTTAATTACTCGCCGAACACAGCGAGAACTCTCGAGTGCTCAAATTGTGCCTTGCCAGGACCTCTGTTCAAGTGTCTCGGTTGTGAAGTTGCCTTTTACTGCGATGATACGTGCCAGGCTAGACACTGGAGTCGACATGTCGTCAGCTGTCCCAAGAAAATGCCTAAGCTCAAAAAAGTCGTGCCTTAAGTAGTTTTAGTCTGTGGAATCGTCGGGTTTTTTAAGTACTGTTGGGGACACGGACGAAAAATTTTAGGAGAAGAATCTATCGAATTCGTTGGAAAATTCTGTTGAATTTCTATTGAACTGTTCTATTAGTTTTTCGCCGATTCTGTTGAAATCAGTAGCGAAGCGGTAAAACGGGTTAAGTCGACTTAGCTCTTTGCTGAGTTTTCGAGGAATATCTCCGAATTCAAGAGAAATAGCGAAATTTTCATTAGAACCTTTTTTGTAGAGCGAATTGAGAGCTACAAAAAAGGTTATTACCAAAAATTTCTATGTTCCTTAGGTTCCGAGATATTCACTAAAAACTGACCAATAGTCTAAATTGACTTAAACCGGTTTACCGCTTCGCTACTGAAATGTTCAATAGAAAATATTCAGTAGAACAAGTCAGTGGAATTCAATTTTTCTGTATAACTTATTCTATTGAGATATTTTTTATAGAATTTCCTCGGCTCAAATTTTCTGAGTTTTTTCGTTTGATTCCTTTGATGAGAAGAAAAGAAAAATAGAATGAAAAAAAATTGGAAAATTTGAGGCGAGCAAATTCTGTAGAAAATGTATGAAAAGAATAAGTTATATAGAAAAATCGAATTCTGTTGACTTTTTCTATTGAATGTTTTGTGTTGAACGTGTCAATAGAATCAGCCAAAAACTGATAGAAAGTTTGATAGAAATTCAATAGAATTTTCCAACAAATTCGATAGGTTTTTCTATTAAATTTTTTCGTGCGTGGAAACTGACACTTGCGGAAATTTTTGGAGGTAAAACACAGTTTAGGGGATGGAGGGATGGTTTCACGTCGTGAGAAGACGGGTGGACGTGTTGTTTGTAGGAAATACTTTCTGTTGGACGGATTCTAGTCCCCTAAATTGAGTTTTCTTCAGTGGATTATTCCGACAGTTTCGGGTTCATGTGGTGTAAGAGATAAGTGTTAATTATTACCGATTGTTTTAATATTTTCTCGAGAAGGTGATGGGAGAAACGAGATATACATTTTTAAGTTTTTCGTAATGTTCGGAACTCTGAAAAGAAATTTTCGGGTGAAGGCCTGCCATTATTTTTCGAGCGTGAAAACTTGGTTGTTTTTTTTTATTTTGATAATCTGAAATTATCTCCAATTGCTATTTAGTTTTCATAGCCCTGGAGTCGCCAAAAATTATGATTGTACAATCAAAAAAACGTTGAAAAAAAGCTGAACATTATCAAAGAGCGTTTTTTAATAATATTGGGGAGTAAACCCAATAGGGAGGAATTTGCAAATTAATAATTTGATGTATCTAATGGCTGTTAGATCCTTAGTTACCATGAAATGTTCAATTTTTTTTCTACTTTTTTTGATTGTACAATCACAATTGTGATATATTTGACATTATAAAGATGGAAAAAGAATCGAGATAACGTTCGAAGGATAGTCCACCGGGGCCTGAAAAACAAATTTCATAATAAATCCACTCAACTGTCTGCATTTTGAGAAAGGAAAAAAAGTGCTGGTTTCCTCCCACCTCTTCTCGATTTTTTAAAAAGATCATATACACTGATGTATATGAAAAAGTGAAAAAAGTGCCATTGTCATTGTTAAGTGTGGCACCAAATGTTCAGTCAATATTTTCGAATGATTGAGAAAATGATGCCAAAGGTGTTAGAAGAGTGTTTAACTGTATTAATGTATGGATTACAGAGGTGGTTTCTCCACCTGTTTTTTCCTATTAATTTTTAATCATTTTCGAATGCTTTTTTATTATATCAGTGGAAAACGATGCGCTTAATGGTATTTTCTAGTGTTACTTGATCGTAAGTGGAAACATGTTCATAGACGTTTGTTAATTCCTCACCGAGTGATTATTCATGACGAGTAACACGCATGGAATGATGAGTTTTTTAATGGTAAACGAATTTATTTCGAAAGTACAAAAGAAAAAAATGCAAAAATTCTGTGATTGAGTGACAAGAACAATTAAATTTTATCAGAAAAGAAGATGAAAAAATTGAAGGTTTTGTCGAAATCACAGAGCACAATGTCAATTGAAACTGCGTTAATCATCCAAAGACTTGAATATTTTTCTATGTTGTATTGATCGACATTAAAGAAACTTTAAATACAATGCTCGTCTGACTGAAGAACCTCAACTACTACTTCTGCCATTCGACAGAGGGATCATCCAAGTATTTTCAGCAAAAATTTCAAAATTTGGGGGAAATTTTGTCGATAAACGAGACGATTTAATGATTGAATCGATTGGACGTCAAATTTTCATCTACAAATTTGTTCATAGAAAAAAAATATCATAAATGCATTGAAAAAAATTAGTTCACTGCAGAGACAATTCCATTGACTTTCCAAATATCTTTTCCAAATGTCAAAGTGCCTCTTAGAATTCGAAAAAATGATTTTCCACTGTTGACGGAGAGGGTGGATACCCTGCACTGACCCCGGCCGGTGGTACAAGTTCATGAATGTTGCAAGCCCGAAAAATCCATCAGCGCCAGGGGTCTGTCGATTTCCCTCGACAGCAGCCTCACAGGTCCCGGATGTCCCTGAGTAGTTTCACCAGCATGGGATCAGCGTCAACATTCCTGAGCCTCCTCTCGAGGGCCTCGAAGTCAGCTCGTTCAATCCAGGCGGGCGGATCGACCTCCCTGGGAGGCAGGGGCGACAGGAGCCTCTCGCAGACGGCGCAGACCCCGCACCAGGTCCTAAAATCCAGTGGCTCCCTGATATCCCCCAGCAGATCCCCAAACTTCTGCAGCTGCTCCTCAGTGAACGGCCCCCCCATGACCTCCCCCAGCGCCTCCATCACTTCATTCGGTTGGATGTACCTCATTCCGTCCATGGTGTCTTCATAAAACTTGTTGAAAGTCCTACCGAAGATCAACTTCCTTCCCGGAGTCAAGAAGACGAATTTGCCGAGGTAGTCCAGTGGCTTCATGGGCCCCAGACTCCCAGAATCCAGGAGTTCAAACCTCGCGGACTGCCTGGAGAAGACTCTAGGAGCGTTCTGGCAGACAGGAGCAGCCGCCGGAGTCCTCGTGGCCTTCAAGTTCGGTTGGGTCTCCCCCTTGACCCTCAGCGCCTCCTCCAGGGCAATCTTCCTCCTCAAGTTGAACTCCTCCTCCACCGTCTCCCTGTCCAGCTCCCGCCCCAGGTGCCTGATGATCTCGGGGGTGAGGAAACTGCAGGGCTGGTGCTCCTGAACAGGCGTCGTCGCCCTCTCCACTTTGACCTCCGCCTCCGCCGCCATCTGTTGCTGTCCAGAGCTCCTTCTGGAGCCGTCCTCGACCTGAGACACCTGCGTCTCCAGCGGCTCCAGCGGCCCTCTGACCTCGTTCTGCTGTCCGTAGGCCGAGCCCCTCCGGCACTTTCGCTTCTTCAACTTCTTGCCTCTCCGCTTCATCGGGGAGCCCGTCTCCGACTCGGAATCATCCTCTTGGTCTTCATTCCTCGAGGAGCCGTGGTCCGAGAAGGTCCCCGAGGTCGCCTGCACTGGGGACGGCGGCGGTGGCACCGCTGGACGGTTCTGGGGGACCAGGGGCTTCGAAACCTCGCTGGGTCTTCTGGGACTCGGCGGAGGCTCCAACGTCAGCGCGTGCCAGCTCAGGGTCTCCGTCTCCTGCTCCTGAGAGGCTGTCCTCAAGTCCAGGATCAAGGTCGTACGCTCGCGGGGGTTGCAGGTGGCCGGAACCTCCTCCTGGGCACTCCTGTGACGAGGGATGGACGATTTTTTTTAAGAGAGGGAAAAAAATCTAATGTTTCATTGGACGAATTTTGGAGAAAGTGAAATTCGTCGAATTAACATTTTGAGTTATTTTCCTCTTTTTTTAATACTCGAGGATAACTTTCGTCGGGGGTTTTTATTTTTCAGTTTTTTGGTTTTTCAGTTTTTAAATAAGTCAATTGACAACTTCTTCTTCGGGGGTTTTTAATTTTTAATTTTCTAGTTTTTTTATTTAACCCTTTTGCGGTTTTTAAATAAGTCAATTGAAAACTTTTCTGTTGGGGATTTTTAATTTTCAATTCTTCAGTTTTTTAGTTTTTTTGGGGTTTTCAGTTTTTAAATAAGTCAATTGATAATCGATGTTTGGAAAAAATAATCGAAAATCGATTAATCGCCCACTCGAAACATCGATGTTTGGGCATGAAAAATGACTGTTTTCGATTAATCGACAAATATCGCCCAAAATTTTGTTAGCTTGGCCAAACATCGACGTTTGGAAAAAATAATCGAAAATCGATTAATCGGCCGTTCGAAACATCGAATGAAAAACATCGAGTTTGAGCATGAAAAATTGCTGTTTTCGATTAATCGACAAACACGCCCAAATTTTTGTTAGCTTGGCCAAACATCGATGCTTGGAAAAAATAATCGAAAATCGATTAATCGCCCGCTCGAAACATCGAATGAAAAACATCGAGTTTGGGCATGACAAATGGCTGTTTTCGATTAATCGACAAACATCGCCCAAATTTTTGTTAGCTTGGCCAAACATCGATGTTTGGAAAAAATAATCGAAAATCGATTAATCGCCCGCTCGAAACATCGAATGAAAAACATCGAGTTTGGGCATGACAAATGGCTGTTTTCGATTAATCGACAAACATCGCCCAAATTTTTGTTAGCTTGGCCAAACATCGATGTTTGGAAAAAATAATCGAAAATCGATTAATCGCCCGCTCGAAACATCGAATGAAAAACATCGAGTTTGGGCATGAAAAATCGACGTTCGATTAATCGACAAACATCGCCGATCCCTACCTGTGAGCCGTGAGGGGACCACTAGCCAGGGTGGGGGTGGGGGTCAGTGGACGAGAGTCTGTCTCCGTGTATTTTCGGAATAGCTCCTCTGGAACGGTTGTTGTGGCCGTTGCGTCCTGGCCGAGGGGCTCCTGGGGGGTTGACGAGTCCAGGACTCCACCGGCGAGGAGGGTCGCTCGGATCAACTCCATCTCCGTTGGGAGGAGCAGGGTTTTCCCCTCGGTTGCCTGAAATCACGAGATGAAGGATGAGGGGGGGTGGGGAGGGGGGGGGGGGNGAGGGGGGGGGGGGGGGGTCGGGAAAGGGCTTACCCATGACTCCTTGGCCCTCTTGACGAACTCCTTGGCCTCGCAGTCCGCAGGGTGATTGCAGAGGACTGAACAGCCGTAGGGGAAGGGATTGAAGAGACCGGCGAAAGGGCGGAGGGTGAAAGGGGCCGGTCGCGATGTTCCGGATAGCTCAATTTTCTGGGGGGATTCAAGTTTTAAGGCGCTGATGGTGGTGGGAGAATAAGGGTGCGAATGATTTTAGAGGAAAACTATTCTTTTAAATATTACGAGATCTACCGCGCGTGCTGCGCACGCACCTTCCCGTGTCCTCATGCGATTATCGCGCATTCGAGATTTTCGAGATATTTCGAGATCGATTTTCTTTCTTCTTTTTACGATAGGGCGAGATTTTCGAGATATTTCGAGATCGATTTTCTTTCTCCTTTTTACGATAGGGCGAGATTTTCGAGATATTTCGAGATTGATTTCCTTTCTCATTTTTACGATAGGAATAGGATAGGATAACGAATTATCTCACGCATGAAAAAATTCAATAGAAAAACTTGGCGAATGCGCTAAAAAATTTTATTGGGATTCTATTAAAATTCTAGGGAATTCTCGATGAAATTCTATTCTAAAAATTCAATACATTTCCATTTTTCTGTATGAATATTCTCATGAAATTTTTTCTATGAGAATACTTGGGCATGAATTTTCCAAGTTTTTCGCTCGGATCCTGCACTGCAAAATAAAACAAATATAGCGGAAAAAACTGGGAAAATCCATGCCCAGGAGTTTTAATAGAAAAAATCTCAAGAGAAAAATTCGAACAAAAAAATCGAAATTCAACAGAATTCTATGGCGAATTCACTACAGTTTTCTCCTGAATTTTTTCATCCGTGCTCGGCTGTATTGAAAATAAATTTAGAGTATGTGATTGAAGCAAAGTCGAATTAAATGACTGGGAATGAATGAAAAAGTAAAGAAATGAATTCAGTCAATTGTAACTGTTGACCAGTTTTCAATGAATATCTCAGAATCTAAGGGAGATAGCAAAATTTTTGTTAGAACCTTTTTTGTAGAGCCGATTGAGAGCTACAACAAATGTAGTACCGAAAATTTCGCTATCTCCCTTAGATTCGTAAATATTCCTCAAAAACTCGACGTGGAGTCGACTCGACCTATTTTACCACTTCGCTACTGAAATGTTTTTGATCCATTACCTTGGGTTTTGGTTTGGTAATGGGGTGCAGACGAGCAGCAATGAGCCCAGTGCTGCTGGATAGCCCAGGCATCCTGGCATCGCAGCTCCAATGACACTGGTACTTGGTATCGCCCAATCCGGCGTTATTATCCCTAACATTGCAACACGAAACCGTCCAATCTGCCACTCTGCTGGAACGTGCTTTTCGAACTTTGCTACTGTGTTCGTTAGTGGCCTGATGGGTTTTGGAGACAGGTAAATGGGGGGTTGCTACGGCCCGATGGGTCGATCAGCCTAGTTTAATGCGTTCCAGCACGGAATGTCTGTCGTTATTCACACCAGGAAAGGATGGGCATGAGATGAGGAAGAATTCTTTCGTTTTCTACGAAAAGTTGACTCCATCACCATCTGAGCTGATTAATTATGGAGTTGAACGTCATTAACCGTCTGGAGACTTTAAACATTATTCCATCCCTCTTGGAGGATTCGTCTGGACTTTTCTGACTTACGACAGATTTTTGAGACTCGTCATATCTATTCAGTGGTGAAGTGATCAATCGGTTGAAATTGACTTTGTAAATTAAATATTTTTTATTAAATATTTAAATTATTTAAATTTTTGTCAAATCTTGGATAGTCTTCACTTTTCTTTACAAAAAAGATTTTAAGAAAACTTTGATAATTTATTTAGAATTTGAGATATTCATCGAGAACTGGCGCTAGAATGGAATTGACTTGAACCGTTTGACCACTTCACTACTGTATTTTTTATCTGTTCCCATACCTGAGTGTCATCGTATTTGGTTTAACCAGAGAATAAATGTTACGGAAAGTAAAAGATAGGAAATTAATAACGATAAATTGACTTCAACAAAATATTTTATTCATTGCGAATGAATCGTTATCAAACTGTCTACTTATAGTCATCTCCAAACGGATTCTTCTGCCTGTGGCCCTTGTACTTCTTCTTGTACCTCAGCCCAGTGACGATTGTGGAGCTGTAAGGGAACGCTGTCTTCCCATCGAATTTAGTATCGTTGGCTGGGTGGAACCTGTGGTACTCGTACTGGATGTGAAGGTTCTTTGGTAATTCTGTTTTTCTGGCTAGGTCGAAGGGAAGGGCTGTTACAATCGGCGTCGTGTAGAAATTCCTCACATCACCTGGAGGAACATTAACATTTTCATGAATTGGAGATGTGAATAAATCAGTAGCGAAGTCAAACGGTTCAAGTCAATTTAGTCCTCAGTTGAGTTTTCCGGAAATATATCCGAATTTAAGGGAGATGGCGAAATTTTCATAATAACCTTTTTTATAGAGCGAATTGAGGGCTATGAAAAAGGTCATGAGAAAAATTTTGCTATCTCCCTTAGATTTCGAGATATTCATTGAAAATGACAAATAGCCAAAATCGACTTGAAGCGTTTCACAACTTCGCTACTGAAATGATGAAGACTGATGGAATAAATCAACTCGATTTGCTTCATCACTCAATCAACACTTTTTTACCAATAGTTTCCATAGTGTGCAGTCTAGAATTTGGAATGGAATAACTGAATTCCTTCTCGCAAGCCACGAGGAAGTCAAATTTCTTGGGGAGTCCGTCAATCCTAGTGGAGTCATCAGCAGACATTCCCTGATCCTTGCAGACATTGTCTAGTCTTGGAGATACATCTGGGGCCGGCTCGTAAGGCTTCAGTGGCCTCAGAAACCTCAAAAAATCAAAAACGTCTTCATCCTCATTTGAATTATCAAAGCCCCGGGGATTCGAATGGGAGAGAATTCAGAATTCAGAACGATTCGAAACAGCAGAATGCTTTCCCCCGAATCAATACCCCCTGACATTTTTTTTCCTGTGCTGGAGGAATAATCTATCTGTGTATGCGGCACGCGGGAAAGTTTTCGCATTTGTATGGGGAGAAAAAAGGATGAGTTTTTGGGAGGGAGTGGGGGTGAATATATTTGAGGGATCGATGTCATGACCACGCGGTGCTGCCCTCGTACAACAATTCTCAACAGTTCTAGGGTTTTGTTATCAGTAACGTGACAACTGTTATCACGAATATGTAAACAAACCAAAGGTTATTTCGATTCTTTTGGCGGAATTGAAAAGTTTTCTTTGTCAATCTAAATAATTGTCAAATCTTCTGGGATAGGAATCGGAAAATAATAATCAGCCAAGGACGTTTAATAATTTTCCACTCAAGTTGTGAGATTTTTCACATTAAAAAAAAGAGAGAAGACAATTTCTACATTTGAAAAAAACATGTGTTGAACTGAGAGAATTCTGTAGTGAAGTGGTCAATCGGTTTAAGTCGACTCGTAATTTAAGAAAGAGCGAAATTTTTGTAAAATCTTTTTCGATCGTCTTTACTTTTCTTCGCAAAAAAATTTTCAGGAAAATTTTGCCAACTTCTTCAGAATTTGAGATATTCATCGAGAACTGGCGCTAGAATGGACTTGACTTAAACGATTTGACTTCTCTACTGAATTGAACATCAGGATCTCTTAAAAATCCAAACTACAAGTGAGAAGCCAATGTTTTCATTAAAAAAAACTGTTGCAAGTGAAATTCGGTATTGTCTAGTGGTCAGGATTCCGCTCATTCCTCACAAGTGAACGAAGAGAAAAAAAAAGTGCGAGGTGAAAAAAAAATTCAGAATCCCTCTAAAAATTGAATATCACAGGGTAGTGACGTCCCTGATCTGTCAAAGCCCTTGCGTACGTCCAACATGTTTACGGGTTAAACCCCAAGTGGTGGGGGTGGGGGTCACTCCAATATGGCCGTAGTCCCTAGGCCCCGTAGGGTGTCGGAAGACCGCGCAAACTGCTCCCGGAGACCTCCCCAGCCCGTCTCAAGCCCCCGAAAAAAAATCTCACCCACGTGAAGCCAGTGATTTTTCATTCCACTCCAACTTCCACTTGATGGTGCTCCTGGGTGGAAGAGGCGGCTCTTTCTGCTTGTACCTCACCCCATCGACTCTTACCTTCAATCACCAAAATATAACGGTTAAATTCGCGGCAGTGTGGGTGCCCTCCGGCAAAAAATCCAGAGTCTCCCCGGGAAAATTAGTGTTCTCCCTCAAAAAAACAATCGCCCGCCCCCGCCCCTCAGCCCCCTCAGCCCCCAGTGGTGTAAACTCACAGTGACAACACGAAGTAACGACGATATTCCTCGATTACATGCCTTAGTGGCGTGTCCGATGAGCGCAGCCATCTTTCCTCCGTAAATATCGGCCGTTCACCACGAAAAAGCCACAGTATAGTCCTCGCAACATCACTGTACAGCGCCCCAAAAAGTTGGCCAATGTGCCGCGCTCGTCGCCACTGAACCCCCTACAACACTTCCCCCCACTCCGCCCCCCACTATCCCTCCCCCCCTTCCCACACAGCGGGCAAAAGGCGTATGTGTGCCCACAGACGGGCGAGTCCTCGTCTGTATTGATGGGGGAGGGGGCGCAGGAGGGGTGGGTGCTTGTTGGGCTTGCAACGTTGAGGCTTGTTGTGTTCCCAGTGAGCGCGTCCGCCATTTTACAGTCGCCATTGAAAGGTGAAAATCCTCCTAAATGTTTCACGAATTATTAACAAATTAAAATCCGTAAATATTTGTAAATAATAATTTCCAATAAATCGTCAAAGCTCCGTTAACAGTAATCGTGTTAATGTGGATGATAATAAAATCCCTGGATTTATGTGTAATTTACGTGAAATATCTTGGTGTTAATGTGATAAATACGTGGGGGAATAATGTGAAGTTTCAACTATGAAATAATTACAGTGACCATTTTAATCATTTGTTTTTCGTTCTGTTTTATTCGATACATCAGCGTCATCACGAGATATCAGGGTGTGAAGTTTTTATTCGGGTTATTGACTAGTGATTGTTGCGGTGCACTTGTTGGTGGGATAAATTAACATCGTTCTGGTACGATGGAGAAGCCATGACGCACCCGTCGCATCAGACTAACGGCGCCAGCTTGGAGGACTGCCACACGAATTTCTTCGCACTGGTGAGATGACAAAATTATCAATTGTCTGATTAATTAGATCGGGAAGTGTCTGGGGAGGGGGTTGAGCCTTGGGCGACCTTTATTCCTCATCTCCACGAGTGCCTCAACTCGACTGAGGTCTTGGCGATTTCCCTCTCGCCTTTTTCATCGTCAAACTGCAATTTTTTTTTTCATTCTCGATATCATTTCATTCGTTTCTGATTGTTTTGGTGATTAGGGGGGCCGGGGCGGGGGAGGGAGAGGGGTTTAGTGTCCATTCGATGAGGGGAAGACGGTTTTAGGTTTTTCGAAAATTCTGAACGCTTTTGGGGCCTTCGTTCCTGCGATTTTGAGCTGTCAACCGTTTTTTTCGGGTTTTCGGGGGCGGGCGGGGGTCAACGGGGGTGAGAAGGGTTTTTTGGGGGCTTTGGGGAGCACCGGAATGTCCTGGATACCCGACTATCGCGCCTCCCGACGTGAGTGCAACAACGAAAGGTTGGGAATGATAAGGGGATCCTCTTTCCTTCTTATTCTCCACTCAAATTTTTTTTTTCAATGTGTTCGTGTGGGTTTCCACGCTCTACTCGTAACATTCCTTTCGCCCTGTGATCGCAATGGGGGAAAACTGTGTCAAGCGGTGACTTCACGAGTAACGTCAAAACTCTGGGTGAAAAAATGACGATAAAATGGCTCATCTCGCGGTGAAATCGACTTGAATTTTTGGCAATTGTCGCTGGATTATCGACAGATCGAAGTGAACTGTTGGGAGGGGGTTTTTTTTTTCGGGGAATTTATTGAGGCGAAACAATCGGAAACTGGCGCCGCGTATGCGACAACATTCCCCTCCTTGGGATCTCCATTCCCCCATGGGAAGGAGAGGCGAGAGGGGCCCCAAAGAGCCTTGTCTCTTTCTGTTTCTCTCTGTTATAAACTCATCGTTTATGTGTGTGTGTGCTGCGGGGACTAGGCTTTACTTCGACGTTGCACCTCTACTCCTATGCCCACTGATCTCCCACGGTGAAACTGGCGAAACCTCTCGACTGAAATATGTACCAATAAATTAAACATTAATATTTTATTCTGAAAATCCTGAAGTCCTAGTATTTCTCTCATTCTGCTCTCCCTCATCTCCTTTTACTGACGATAACTCGAGATTGCCAGAGTGAATTTTCCCAATTTTTCATCCGTTTTGAAGGTCTTTTTTCGGGCTTTAAAATGAATTTTGAATCATTGAAATCGGATCGTTGGGGCGGGAGATATTCTTGATTGACAAAGATGCTATTTGTTAAATTTTCTATTCATTGTTTTGTTTTCTCCGATTTTCTGTTTTCATCGAGTGAACGCCTCCGGAAAATAGAGCAGAGAGCTAGAGTCAGGTGAGAGGGCCGGGGGGGGGGAGGCTCGGTGAAAGCCCTGGTAAGACGAGACACTGGAGAGAGAAAAAAAATGTAGAAAGGAGTTTTTCCCGGTGCAAGAGTCGCCCGGTGAATCCGTAAAATCGGTAGCAGTGAAAAAATCACGCAGGGCATTTAAAAGGACTGAAGGCCAACTTCCGGGGTTAACGATGTGTGCAAAACCCACTGGTTTATTACGCATTTCTCCGCCGTTAAGGCATTTAACAACCGGTCATTGACTTAACGATTTCACACTTTGTCGAACTGTCATTGATAAAGAAATATTCACTCGTCTCATTCATGATTTTTCCCGTCTATAGTCAATCAGTCGCATTGAACCGGTCCGTCATTACGGAAATCATCGCCACTGGTGGTGGTATTCCCTCATAATCGATTCACTCTGGCCACTCTATTCCCCCGGAAATTTCACTGTAGATCGATTTTTCCGGGAGTTCCCGCGTAAATCAAGTGGCCGGGGGCCTGTGGGTGTGCGAAAAGTAGACGAACTGAGGGGGGAAAATAAGGGAATAATAAAAATAGTGCGGAGGGCGAGGGGGCGGGAGGGCGAGAGAGAGAGAGAGGTGCGGAGCCACGCGGGCGGCCTTGCACGTAGTTTTCCCCCTCGCTCGTATTGATCAGACGTTGGGAGGCTTGACAGTACCTAACTGTACGGTGTGCGCCTTCGGTTTTAACCCAACCTCTTGTTACCATTGCGATACGCGTGCCGGTATTCTTCATTCCATGAATGCTTTTGATTTTTTCAAAAATCAAAAACGGAATTCATTGGAGCAATGATTTTTTGAATTGATTTTTTTGATTTTTTCGAAATTCCTGATTTTTTAAATTGATTTTTTTTATTTTTTCGAAATTCCTGATTTTTTAAATTGATTTTTTTTATTTTTTTTAAATCCCTGATTTTTAAAAAATTGAAAACAGGGGTTTCAAAATCACTGATTTTGAATTAATTGAATCCCCGATTTTTTGAATTGATGTTTTTAATTTTTTTCAAATCCCTGGTTTTTGAAAAAAGCAAAAACAGGCATTTCACAATCACTGATTTTTAATTAATTGAATCCCCGATTTTTTAAATAGATTTTTCAATTTTTTTCAAAATCCCTGATTTTATCAACCTTTTAACCCCTCATTAACATTAAAAAAAAATCAAAAGTGTCCGTTTTACCCCAATCTCCCCTACAATGAAAAACAATGATGTTCAGTGAAGGAAAGGGAAGACCGCAGTCGTATTCACGTAAAAAAAAATTTTTTTGCACCTAAAAATGACAATTGTAATAGTATTTAGAAATTTTGGGACTGCGAATAAATCTCATGTCATCAGCCATTCAACCATAATTAACCGAGTAACCCAGTCGACATCACCCTTCGCGTGACGAATTTTCTCGCGACGAGTTTATGACGTGCATGCAAAGTTTATTACGATATTTGTCGAATGAGCGTGCGCATGAGTCTCTAAAAACGCAAGTTCTTGTGTGACGACAGAGAGTTGGATGCATGTGACGGAGGGAAAATAGAGGGAACAACAATGGGTTGTACGAGGGGGAGTCGGGGAATTAAAACGAGAGCGTGATGTAGGAGTCGCGAGATTGCCTGCCCCCCCTGCCCCTTGTTAGGTGGGAGGTCGAGTGGAAGGAGGCGACTGCGCGTGTAACAGGTGCCATCGTCGTCTTTTAAACTCGGCGGTTCTTATCCCGGTGGGTTTAGACGGGGGGGGGGGGGGGGGGGGCATAGGGCCGAGGAACTGTCTCTTTTACACATCT